AAGTTGGGGGAGCGGGGGCAGTGTTGAGCAGGAGAATCGCTTGAACCTGGGAGGTGGAGGCTGCAGTGAGCCGAGATTGTGCCATTGCACTACAGCCTGGGCTACAGAGGGAAACTGTCTCAAAAAAAAAAAAAAAAAAGAGAGAGAGAGAGAGTGAAATGCAAATTAAAACAAGATACATTTCTACACACCTACCAAGAAGGCTACAATTAGGAAGACTCACTACACCAAATGCTGATGAGAATGCGGAGCAATTGGAACTCTCTTACACTGCTGGTGGGAATGTAGTACGGTACAAGTATTTTGGAAGACAGCCTAAAAAGTTGTTTATGAAGTTAAACATACTTATCATACAACTCAGGAATCATACAGTAAATATCTACCCAAGAAATGAAGATTTAAAAGTGTTCCACCCTAGTTGTTTTTTTCCAAAATGTACTTGAAGTTTCACTAGTTACATCTTCCCTGTTAGCCATCAGGAATGTTTTAAAAATTTTTTTCTTTAATCTCCTTCAAGTACTTGGGGAAGCCCACCTATCCTAAACCTGAAGCAACATTAAATTGCAACTAAAAAAACTACACGCCATCTAGAACAATTTTCCAAACCTCAAGCTGAGACTCAGTAGTGCATATTCTACTCTTTCAACAGTTTTAGGAACATGAAAAAGAACAGAATGCATCCCATCTAGTAAGCCTTAATTTACATCTAGAGAATCCTTTATTTTTGTTGTGTATATCACAGGTTGCCACATAAATGTATTTTTATCATGGATCATTTTTAAAAACACTGATCTATAGCATACCTGTAACATAAGCTCTATGCTACCAGAAGTTTCTAAACCTTCTAAGCACTTCTAACTTGATTCATCCTATTTTAGGAAAAAATGAAACCCACAGTAGAGCTATCATAGTATCTATAGTTGTTATGATTGTTAATACGCCTTTGGTATCTTGCCTTAAGGAATTATCAGCATACTCTGTTACAATTGACAGTGATTTTTCAATACTAAAATCATACATTTTTCAGCTTTCATTGAAATTTCAAGACTAAAGAAACAAAATATGAATATTCCACTAACTTTTCCCCAATAGCTAAAAAAGGAGGCAAAAGTCAGAAATTACTAATCTTTGTATAATATACTGTAACTTGGCAACACATTCTGAAGAACCTCGTAATCTAGAATGTAGATGTATTCAAGATGCACTAAAGAGTAATCTACATGCAAAATTATCCATTTCAGAACATATTGACTCTAAGGATACTTAAAGGACATTGACTTCATAAAAAGATGAGAATTCAATCTCCACTAAAAAATTGTCACTGGCTGCCTAATCATAATATACACATTTTATACATTATAATAAATAACTACCTTGAAAAGTACCTTAAAATTACTTTTTTATCAATTACTATCTTTTAATTAAGAAGGGTTAGAAAGTTGTAGGAGTCTGTCCAAAAGGAAAGAAATACAAGTAGAAACAACGTATTGAAATAATACTTTCTTTTATTAACAATATTTATCTTTACAAAACTGTATATACATGGGAAAATGAAATATGTGTGGCTAATAAATCACTGATTTCCAAAAGCACTACTCTACACCTAGTATAAAGTAATTTGAGAAACTATTACATTTAAACATTTAAACCTACAGGTATCTCTGACTCTGGACTTTGATAATTATTCTTTGAAACAAAAATTCCAGGAGGCTGAGGTGGGAGGATGGCCTTGAGCCCAGGAGGTGGGCTGCAGTGAGCCATGATGGTGCCACTGTACTACAGCCTTGGGGACAGAGCAAGACCCTGCCTCACCCTGACCCCCTACCCCACCTCCCTTGGAAAAAAAGAATCCTATATGGAAATTTAGATCAGGCTCACGAAGATTAAAATCCCTGTCCTATCCTCTAAATCCATGCTAGTCTAAAACAACACTCAATTGGCACAGGTCAATCTTGTGAATTTGGGAGCTGTAAGTAAACACATCTTTTTGTCCTAAATAACATATGGGAAAGTATTCACCTTCATTCCCACAACATAATAGGAAGTTTTGAGAAGTATAATTTTCTTTGATGGGAAGAATGGAGGTAATCAATCAGTTTAAGTAAAATCAATTACAAATCTTGAATACTACTATTGAAAAGGCACATGCTATGATGAAATAACTGGAAATGCAAATCTACAAGAAAAATTATGCATTTGTCCTATCCTAATTTTACTATTTAGCAGTAATTCACTGCTAAAAATTTGAAGAAATAGAAATAATGAAATTGTATCAGAAAAATACTTACTCTATAACAATACGACCATAGTAATGTTTAAATATTGAAGTCCTAAAAAAGAATATTATTTCCATAGGAAAATCCTAACTTGGAATTTGACTTTTAAAAGGAAGGCTTTATGAGAGTACTATTCTTTTTTCTTTTTCTTTTTTTTTGGGACAGAATCTCCCTCTGTCGCCCAGGCTGGAGTGCACTGCTGCAATCTTGGCTCACTGCAACCTCAGCCTCCATGGCTCAAGCGATTCTCCTGCCTCAGTCTCCCAGAGAGGTGGGACTACAGGCACATGCCACCACGCCCAACTAATTTTTGTATTTTTAGTAGAGACGGGGTTTCAGCATGTTGGCCAGGCTGGTCTTGAACTCCTGACCTCAAGTGATCCACCTGCCTTGGCCTTTCTAAGTGCTAGGATAGGATTGGGCCGGGCGCAGTGGTTCATGCCTGTAATCCCAGCAGTGACGAACGTCCACTTAAAGAAGAAAGGCTGAGTACACACTATGGTACTTCATAACGTTAAATACTACATAATAATTTAAAAGACAGAATGAATCTTAAGATCTCCAAAATGTGAAGAAGTGAAAACAATATTTACAACATGACACCATGTATTCAGGTGTCTCTGTCTCTCACACACACACTCGCAACACACACGCCTCTCCTAGCATTTGTACATGTACTTATATGCTTGAAACAATGAAAAGAAAATGGTCTGGAAGAATATTCAGAAAACAGAAAATATTTCTAAGTGTGGCGGAATGAAATTAAATGGGAGGGATCAAAGGGATTTTTGCTTCATTTTTGAGTTTTTACAAACAAAATTATTCGTATGTTACTTGAGACACTAAAAAGAAAGAATTAAAAAACTGCATGCTAACTTTCCTTAAATAATTTACAAACCAGAACTGGTGGCCGTAATCAGATTTCATTTTCTTCTATTTACTTGAAACCAAAAACAAATGACAGCAACAAACACTTTTTACCTACCAAATGGCAAACTGGAAAGAAAAATTTTTATTTGATGTTTGCCGTATCTCTAAATAAAGAGAGTAAGAGTATACAGGAAGAAACAAAAAAGACCTTTTACTAAGTACGTCCATTTTTAAGACACCAAACTTTTTCGCTGACTCGGGCGTGACCCAGAAGCCTCAAAAACAAAAAAGACATGTTATGCAAAACGAAAAAAAGTGGAATACTGCTCCCTCAAGTACTGAAGGTTGTTTTTAGAAAGCTTAACTAAGAAACTGTAAATGCCAAGTGTGTTTTCCAGGGGTGGGAAGAGGAACGTGAAACCCAACACCACCTTTAAGCGGTCAAAACGAACTGAAGAGCAGAGTGGAACTGGGAGAGCGCGCGGGGGTGGGGAAAGCTCAGCTATCACTTTTAGGTTTTGGCTCAGCGCCGCAAAAACAGTTTACACGGATTCTGTACGAAACGTGAAGTCCCTGAGGGTGGCCAACGCGTCGCAGTCGACACCTAAACCCCCTGGAGATTGAAGGCGAAGGTGGGCAACAACAACTTAGGTTCTTCGGCTGAGCGGGGAAAGCGCGCTGAAAAAGAGCAAAAGAGCCAACTTTTGCTCTAAACGCTGCAAGCTCCTAAAGGTTCCGCAAGTCTCCGGAGTCCCAACCCTTTAGCGACCCCAACACCTTTGCCCACCGCCTGGCCCTCCGAGAAAACCCAGCAAGGGCGGCGGCTGGCAGCAGGCACAGGGGGCTTGACTGTGGCAGGCGCGGGGTTCGGCGACCGAAGCCCCACCCAACACCCCAGAGTCTCGGGGCGCCCCCGCCGAGGCGCTGTCCCACCTCCAACAGCCCCAGAGGCGCGCCCCCTCCCCCACTCTGGGCGGCGACCTCAGCGCCTCCGCCCCGGGGCCCCCGCTCACCCAGGTAGCGGCTCCGCAGCCGGGACGGGTCCTCCAGCCCGAGGGACCTTTTCCTCACGTCCCACAACAGGTGTGGGCAGGACCCACCCCGAGACATGGCTCTGCCTGAGCCGGGTGGGAGGGGAGACCACCGCGTGGGGGAGGGGAGGAGGGGGAGGGGACACCCGGATCAACACCCGAGCCGCACCGGCACCATCCGCGCGCCGGGCCTCCAGGGCGCAGCGTTAGATGGCGGTGGCAGCGGCGGCGCCTGGGCCCCTGAAGCCCGGCCGCACCCGGGCCGGAGCTCGCCTCATACTCTCCTCAGACTAACCAGAATATCCAAAGATCAGCAACAGTCTCCTCCCTCAGCCACCCTCCAACAGGAGCAGGAGGAGGCAGAGGCGGAGGCGGAGGCGGAGGCGATGGCGACTCCTCCCTCTCCTCGTCTTGGACACCCTCCCCGCCAAGACTTTCTCGCGAGATGACGACCACCCTGGGGACTGAGGCCAGTGAGCGCCGCGGCTGCCCTCACCCTGGAAGAGTGCATTCATGCCATTCTAGCTAGATCCTTAAGTCGCTAGGGATAAAACAGGAGTAGAGAGAGAAGAGACTCAGGTTTGTAGTCTTTCGCTCACGAGTCTCCAGTCAAAAGAAGCGAGAGAATTGTACGGCATCATCTTTAGTTGAGGCACGGAAGGCCAGAAAAGCCCATTTTAACTACGGGCCTGCTTAATCAAAGTGAAGGGGCAATAGAGCCGGCGCAGCTTCACTTTCCCTTCTCCAACATGGCCTCGAGGGCAGGGAGGAGAAGGAGGAGTTTCCCTCTCGACTCCGCCCGCCCCTGGGGGCGGGCCAATCGTGGCGCGCAGCTCGGCCTGCGCAAGCGCGCTGACAGCAGGGCGCTGGGTGGACTCGGTGAGGTGATCATTTTGGCACCTTTTGCCAAGGCTCCTCCTCCCTGTCTCCTGCGGGGGGCCGGAGGCGGGCCCGGGGCGGGCCATCGACAGTCCCCGCCCCCTCAACCTTACTCGGGTGCGGGCCGCAGCTTGTAGGTTCATTGCGTGGTGGGAAGGGCCGCGGGAAGGGCACTCCAAGCAAGAGAGGGACGCGAGGCGCTGTGGCAGGAAAAAGTGACTAGCTGCCTTTCGTTGTCAACCAGGGTCGAGAACACAGCCACGCTCCCACCCGGCTGCCCACAGTCCCTCGGCGGCGATGTCGGCCGCCGGTGCCCGAGGCCTACGGGCCACCTACCACCGGCTCCTCGATAAAGTGGAGCTGATGCTTCCGGAGAAACTGAGGCCGTTGTATAACCATCCAGCAGGTAATGGACCCGGAATGGCTTCTTATCGAGATCTTCCTTCCCCCTTCCTCTAAAATGGACCTTTTAGAGGCCCGCTAACAACTGCCGCTAGGGGCATCCCACAGCCCCAACCCCTTCCCTTCAAGGGAAGCCGTCTACTCTCCTAACCTCCCGCAATTCACCTCTCTCCTGCAACATCTGTTCCTAAGCCAACGAATCTCAAGTCAGTGCCCTTCCCGACCTGTATGGCATCCTCTCCCTTACGCACGACTCCAACCCAAACCTGGTCTCCAAATGTGAGCCTTCTCAACTTATGCTGCCACCAGAGGGGTCTGGGGCCACCATGAAACTCTTCTCTTTCTCTTCGCGAATTGTGGCATATTAACCCACACGAGGCAGAGCTGGATGGGTGGCTTGTCGCACTGGAGGGTTTGGAGTAAAGGTCACACTTTATTCAGCTTCTGCTGGCAGAGGCCTGCAGACTGAGCCCTCCCCCAAACTGCATGCTTTACTTCACTCAGGCTTGAGTCAGTGTCATTTCTCATCCCATAGGTCCAGTGTGTTCCTTTAAGTCTATTCTTATGTATGAAATTGTTGAACAAGCTCTACCCAGAGCTTTTTGTGTGTGTGGAAAGACCTGGATATCATTCTCTTCTACCACTTATTAGAGTTGTGACCTTGAGCAAAAGCCTAGATCTCCGTTTCTGTAAATGTGTGATCTGCGAGAATGACAGATAACATATGTGCTTGACTCTTTGTAAATGCTCGGTAAATGTTAGTTCTCTCTTGGCCTACTGGAAAACTGTGTTCTTTTTTGGGGGGCGGGGGAAGCTACTCTGTAAGAAACGGAAAGATTCCAATCCCTTTATTAAATATCTAGAATTCTGTGACCTCTTCTATAAAGTGGGTTGTAGTAATATTTATTTGGCTAGAGGCTAACATCAGATATATTCTGAGGTTTCTTTCAAGCCTAAGACTTGGCAAACTAGAAAATGTGTTGTAAATTGAAAGACTGAGTGCTACCCAAAAAGTGGCTTTTCTCCTACATAGTTAAAATCTGTATTCTGCAGTTGGTATCATTAGGAAGGTTGTCTGTTTCCCTCGTTATCTGATTATGAAACAGCTCTCTACAGAGTGAACTGGTTACTAAATGTGATCTCCAGTTTGATCATGGAATGAACATCTGGATTATACTTTAGTTTAACTCTTAATATTATTTACTGCAGTATTGAACCCATTATAAAACTGATTAAGGAGTTTGTTATTGATTTTTTTTTTTTTTTTTTTTTTGGTTGGGGTTTTTCT